GCATCTCAGTCATGAATTCCACTGAGAAAATATACATTTAGCACATAGAACCAATGTGGTCAAGTGGCTTGAGCAATTGAATGGGTCTCTAGATATTAAGGTTTCAGTCCTTGCCCTATGATGTAAACACACTGGATGACCTTGGGCAAGTCACACTCTTTTAGCCTCAGGGGAAGGCAATGCTAACTAAACATCCTCTGAATAAACCTAGCTAAGAAAACCCAGTGGTAGGATTGCCATGAGTTGAACTGAGGGCACTTCACTCCACCACCACAAACATCACATTTAATGTATTGTGGCTGGTTTTCACTGCCAGAATCACTGGGGTGTTGTGTGGTTCCTGGGCTGTATGGTCATGTTCTAAACAGCATTTTGTCCTGACAGTTCTCCTGCATCTGTGACTGGCTTCCTCATAGGATCCTCAGCCACAGATGCAAGCGAAGCATCATGATAAAATACTGCTAGGACATGGCCATATTTATTATTATTTATTTATTTAATTTTTTTATATCCCGATCTTATCTACCTCCTTAGAGGGACTCAGACCAGCTAACAGAAAGAATTCAATGCTAACAATAAAAATCTAAAACATCATACATTAACAATGAATCAAAAATACATATAAGATAAAATACATATAAGCCATTTGCCAAGATAAAATCATGTCCAACTCAGTCCGCATATTGTGGTCAATAACTTTGGTCAATTACCAGTCTCAGCTACCATTCTGCAAATGCCTCATTCCACAGTCAGGATTTCACTAGTTTCCTAAATGTTAGGAGGAAGGGGGCAGATCTAATCTCATTTGGGAGAGAGTTCCATAGCTGGGGGGCCACCACGAAAAAGGCCTTGTCTCTCGTTCCCACCAGACATGACTGCAAAGGTGGCAGGATTGAGAGCAGGGCTTCTCCAGAAGGTCTTAGCACCCTTGTCAGTTCATAGGGGAGAATATACGGGCCAGAACCATATAGGGTTTTGTAGGTTAAAACCAGCACTTTGAATTGTGTCCGGAAGCTAATGGGCAGCCAGTGGAGCTGGTGCAACAAGGGAGTTGTGCACTCCCTGTACCCCACTCCTGTCAGTAGCCTGGCTGCTGAGCGTTGGACTAATTGCAGCTTCCGGGCAGTCTTCAAAGGCAACCTGATGTAGAGAGTGCTGCAGTAGTCTATACGGGATGAAACCAGCCTGGAAACCACACAACACCCCAATACATTGACTGCAAGACTTATGGTGGCCTTAAGGCAAACCTATCACTGAGATTCCTGAGACTGCCATGATTCCATTGCATTCAATCCTGGCATTTAAAGTGGAATCAAGCTGCATTCATTCTACAGTGTAGATGCAGCCAACGATAATTACTGCTTCCAGAGCCTCATTTGCAGACCTAGGTGAGGGGATGGCTGGGTTGAAAGAAGGAGACTTCAAAAGGGGCTCTGGCAGAGCAGCCTCCTCAAGCCCAGGCAAGGAAGGAAGGATCCAAGCCTCTCTTCCCACCTCTGTTGGCCCAGTGTTGAACTTTCCTTAACTGGTCTTGAGGAGGCTGCTGTCACCAGAGCCCCATTTGCAGTCTCCTTCTTTCAACCCAGTCCCCTGCCACCAGAGTCTGCAAGGAAGAAAAGGTCTAAAGCAGTGTTTCTCAACCTCTGAGTCCCCAGGTGTTTTGGCCTTCAACTCCCAGAAATCCCAACAGCTGGTCAACTGGCTGGGATTTCTGGGAGTTGTAGGCCAAAACATCTGGGGACCCACAGGTTGAGAACCACTGATCTAAAGGAAGGGGGCGATGAGGGCAATGTTGGACCTTTGCTTCCTTGTGTGGGCTTGAGGCTGCTGCTGCCAGAACCCCATTTGCAGGTTCAGGTGGTGGAGAGCTGGGTTGCAAGGAGGAAACTTCAAATGGATCTCTGGCTGCAGAAGCCTCAAGAGCAGTAGAGGAAGGAAGAATCCAAAACTGGCCAAAGGGATGGAGGTTGTATCCTTTTTTCTTTACTTGCTCTTGAGGCAAAGAAGGAAGTCCTGTCCACAGGCTGGATTGCAAGTAGGAGGAGGAGGCAGCTGAAGTCAGCATGGCAGTGAAGGCAGGAGCCGAGGGTAGGTTTGTCATCACAGGCTCTTCCTGAGGAAGCAAGGGAAGGGAAGGAAACACATGGATGCTCTCTCTCATCTCTTTTTGGCTGGGCCAGTGGGAGAGGGGCGCTCTCAGACAGAGTGCTAACAGGAGCCAGAGCTCTATTTGAAATACAAGAGGAGGGGAGGGTCAGCAGGAGAAGAAGCGTGTATGTGTCTATGTATTATTCCTCAACATCCATGCAGCGTCAGCTCAGGTTTTCTGTGAAAGACTCCCATGGACCATTTTTTTGTTTCTTGTAGACCACCTATGGTATACAGACCATTGGTAGGGAACCGCTATTCTAAAAGAAAGGAACTTTTTCATATTGCTTGAACCAGTATCCCTTAACTAATTGAGTGGATGACTCAGACTAGGTAACTCAGCCTTTCACAATTAATAATAGGTGATATTAATGCAGTCGCAACAGTGAATCATAACCTTGTGTTCCAGAAAACTGCTGAGCCTTGAATATTTCCTGTAATAAAATTGGCTTTCATAAGTTTTTATGTCCAGATTTGCCAGATGATATGAATCTATTTTAGTTCAGTTTTACTTAACAAGAAACAAGATGTTAATCCTTAAAGTATATTGATGTGTGTTTTTTTTAAAAGAGCTTGCATCTGCCCTTCTCTGAAAATATCAGAACTGGATATATAAACCTATGGAATTCGCAGTAGTAACTGAAGCAATGTTTAGGTCCATTTACACTGTAGAATTAATACATTTTGATACTACTTCATCTGGCATGGCTCAATATTATGAAATCACAGGATTAGTAGTTTGAAACACTCTGCTTCGCGTTCTGGCCAGGCCCAGGTCTCTTCTTTATCTGTGAAAAGCAAATTATGGTAGTAGGAGATCCATATTTGGCTAAATCCTAAAGGATTGTTCTAATAGGTATGGTGTTCAGAAATGTAGCAGTGAAGTATTTGTTGAGCTATCATTCAGGCTTTTTCCATTTGAGTATGGACATTTGAGAAAGGCCACAAGAACTGCACACACTCAAGCCACATAATCCTCTGAAAGCCTTTGTTATTGATGTGGCAGAGATTAGAAAAGAGTTAAGGGATGCAGGCAGGCAAGTCCAAAGAGATGGAAAATTTGTCCAGAGCACAGTGGCAACTCAAAACAGTTCAGAGCAAAATGAACTTCAGAAGGATAAAACCACAAATGACCGGAGAATATAGTGCCATAATTACCCTCCACATCTGTGAATTTAACATTTGCAGATTTTATTACTCCAGGTCTTCCAATGCAAATGTATGGTTATGCCTCCAGTAGATGTTGACTATAGTCACATCGAAGGACTGAAGAGATTTCTAGATAGATGTTCAGAAAAAAATAAGTATTTATTTTATTTGCAGGTTTGTAGTGTTTCTAAGCCCTGTAAATGTGGACATCTGACCATAGAATATTGAACCAATGGGATTTTGGCCTGCATCAATACGAGCATAGTGTCTAGATCTAGGGAAGTAATGCTACCCCTCTATTCCGGTTTGGTTAGACCACACCTGGAATATTGTGTCCAATTCTGGGCACCACAATTGAAGAGAGACATTGACAAGCTGGAATGTGTCCAGAGGAGGGTGACTAAAGTGAGCAAGGGTCTGGAGAACAAGACCGATGAGGAGTGGCTTACAGAGCTGGGCATGTTTATAATATAATAATAATAACTTTATTTTTATACCCCACCACCATCTCCCCAAGGGGACTCAGGATGACTTACAAAGGAACAAGCCCAAAGATTACAAATAAAACAAACACATTAAAATAAAATCAACAGCAGCAATCAAATAAAAACATATCACAATCTCAAAGCAATATCATAAAAACAGTATTATGGCAGTGAAAAAATCGAGGCTGGGTTCAGGCTAAAAGTAAATGCACTGGTTCCTAAGTAGAGCTGAGGGAAAGTGCAAAAATTAAAAAGGGCTGGGCTAAAAGGGTAGTACCCCTAACCATGAAGTGTAAAGGTTACCAGACAGGGTCATACTAAAGTGCGGATCGGGCCAATACTCTGGTGAACTGCCTAGTCAAAAGCACAGTGGAACATCCAAGTTTTTAAATCCTTGTGGAAAATGGATAAAGTGGGAGAATGTCTAATCTCCCTAGGGAGAGAGTTCCAGAGCTAGGGGGCCACCACCGAGGCGGCCTTCTTCCTCGTCCCCACCAACTGCGCTTGAGATGGTGGCGGATGTGAGAGAAGAGCCTCCTGGGATGATCTTATGGTGCATGCTGGTTCATAGGGGAAGATGCAATTGCAGAAGAGAAGGCTGAGAGGAGACATGATGGCCATGTATAAGTATGTGAGGGGAAGTCATAGGGAGGAGGGAGCAAGCTTGTTTTCTGCTGCCCTGGAGACTATTCTATGATTCAGTGAGTGCAATTGATTTGCAAAAATACATCAGTAGCAAAAAAGGAAGCACCCACCAATTAAAAACCCCTTCTGCAGAGCGAAATTACACAAAGATTGACTAAACTGTCCAAATGATGATATCAAAATTTGATAAATTCTGGTTACTGCCATTTTGAATTGCAGCTCATCCTTTGGAGCCAACTCTTTGATTGCATTAGCCTTATGGTTTGTGCAAACTGAACATCACTATGGTTACTGGAAAACATGTAAAGAGGAATCTGTGTGCAGAAGTAAAAAAAAAGTTGGTGAAAGATTTCCAAACAATTATTTGATGTTCGCTTATCATTCAGTTCAGATGTTCTAAAACTCATGTGGTTTAGAGAGCCTTTACCTATAACCCAAGAACTCTCTAACTTTCTTTTACTCCTGTCATGATTTAGGTGCCATTTCTTTGCTTTATCTCACCTTGTGATCCTGATCGTTATTTCCAAAAAGAGTACTGATGATAACATGGCCATTGCTTCTTTCTGTCTGCAGGTGCCCCACCATTCTTTGAACTTACGAGTGGCTGACTTTATCTAGAAAAATCATTTCAACCCTATTTTCTATGCCAGACCAATATGCTTGTAGATAGACTCTTCTACAACAAGAAATGCTTCTGGAACTGGAATATGCTTTAAGAAGAGATTTTGTATCAGTTCTGGTGAGTATTGAAATGTTATTAAAATTACTAATTGTGGCCATTCACTTACCTTTAGGAAATGAAAATGGAAAGGATGATAATATTTTATCTGTGGAGGATAAGGTTCTGAACCTACTGTGGAAACAGGAAAACATGAGTAGGTATGAGATAAGCCCTTCTGCTAGAAGTTAACCTAGAATCATACTGGAGGACTTGGATAATTCCTAGAGAAGCTAGAAACGATTCCTGATACATGTCCGTGGCCTCTTCCACACAGCTGAATAAAATCCCACATTTTCAGAACGGGAATATATTGCACTGTGAACTCAGATAACCCAGTTCAAAGCAGTTCAAAGCAGATATTGCAGGATTTTCTGCCTTTGTATTCTGAGGGCCTGTCCAGACAACATTCTGGACAGTCCCAAATTAATTTGCCACAAACCAGGAAAACCCTGGTTTGTAGCAAATTAATTAAATAGTGGGTTTATTCCACGCCTTCTTGGAAGGCGTGGGATAAACCCACTATTTCCGGTTCTGAACTGCAGAATACTGCAGGCCAGACAATATTCCCACAGTTTTCTGGGCTAAATAAGCTTGGTAAACTGTGGAAATACCCACCTCCTCCCCTGAAATCGCCAGACCTCTTAGAAAAGTAAGGGAAACTTACCTGGCCTCCATTACAGGCTTTGGCCTGCTCTCCTGGCGTGTAGAACCCCCCCCCCCCGGCTGTCTTGACACGTCATTTCTACACACCAGGAGAGCAGGCTGAAGCCTGTAATGGAGGCTGGGTAAGTTTTCATTACTTTTCTAAGGGGTCTGGGGGCTTTGGGGTAGRGGAGTAGGGCCACCCAACATTCTCTCGAGCTAGTCCCGAGAGACCATCTGGRCACCCACCCCAGAAAGTGTGTGCTTTCTGGAGTGGGTGTGGATAGACCCCCGGGAAAATCCATGTTTTTAAAACGCAGATTCTCCTGGGATAAAGGCCTGTCTGGATCCGCTCTCATATGCTGGTACAATGTGATAATGATAATGCATGTCCATGGTTCAGCAATTTTTTGGGCAAGAAATGTCAATGCTTGGTAGCGGACATCCCATTGGAATGCCCCTTACTCAATGTCACAGAAGCAATTCAACCTGGGCAAATTTGACAGCTCCTATCCCTTGTGGTTTTGGGTGTTTTCTCCAGTTAATTCCAAGTTCCTGAGTCCAGAAGACAATCTCTGATCGTTTTCTCTCCCTTCCCTTTTTTGGGACTGTTTCAGATGTTTCCCCAGTGAAACATAACGGACACTGACAGGATATTCCCCTGCATCATGGGAAGAATTCCATTATAAATCGCACCCTCAGTAGATTGTAAATGTTTAGAAACAGAGTCAAGAGGTAGGATCTGGAACATCAGGAATAGTTTCCAGTTGGCTGGATAGATTGTTCTCATGTCACATACCATTCAAACTATGTGATTCAGGGCCTTTCCAGAGAGCCATATAACCCAGAATATCAAGGCAGAAATCCTACAATATCTGCTTTGAACTGGGTTATCTGAGTCTACACTGCCATATATTCCAATACAAAGCAGAAAATGTGGGATTTTATTCAGCTGTGTGGAAGGGGCCTGAGATATCAAGCACCACACACTCTTTCACCAGAGGAAACCTGAGGCTAAATGTAATGCAAGTCCCGGCAAGAGTGGATATCCTTAATCAATGTGCATTTGTTAAGTCAACACTTATATAAGTCTAGTTGATTCAATCAGTGTGCTTCATTGGGTTCTTGCAATTGGATTCAGACTCTGACACCCTGGTAATTGTTTGTACAGAGCCATAATACTTATGGAAAGTAACTTGGCTAAGGTGTAACCATTCACATTTGGCTTAATTAACCATTTCTAGAGAGAATTATTACATTACATAACACAATTTTTGTTCCTGGGTTATAAGAGTGATTGCCTAATTGGTTCTATCATAAAAACATGGAAAATGTTTATTAAACTACGAAAACTTTGTTTTTGCACATATTGTCATTAAGGAAAAATACAGACTTTTAAGTTTTAGGTAATAGAAGAACAAACAAACAAAAACAAAGTTTCTGGAGTATAACACCTACTTCCAGAGTAAGTACTGCACAATTAAACAGGAAATAACACTTTCAAACCAGGAACAAAACGTTTTCAAATTTTGTTACATAGTGTTATGAGCAGCCTACCTAAAATGTTTTAATTCTCAGAAGAATGAACATTAATTTAAATACAATTCAACTACAGGACAAACTTAATGAATTAAGTATCTTTTCCCAATTCTGGGATGGATGGGGTAATGAAGTGAGAGAGTTGTAAACCAGGCTGTGTTATATTCAAGATTGCAAAGTTTGATTTAATAAACTCTGTAAGTAATTTAATTTTGTCTTGCTGAGAATGTTTTAGCTCTGTACGTGACATTTTTATTTCATCCCTTTTTTAATAAAACCTCTCACAGTGAGTAAAGATCAAAAGTAATTGCAGTGAGAACAAGGATGGATTGAATTACCTAAGTATATCTTCGATTGCTTTTTAGGTGCCGTGGAATATTATGTGCCTCGCAAGCAGGCCACAGACCTTGCAGTGTTCAAAATGGTGTATGGTGAATTTTTCCACAGACCAGGACAAGATGAAGAGCTTGTCAACTTGAATGTAGGTGGCTTCAAGCAGTCCATTGGCCAAAGTACCTTACTCAGATTTCCCCATACGAGACTTGGGAAGTTGCTCAAATGCCATTCAGAAGAAGCTATTCTGGAACTTTGTGATGATTACAGCGTTGCAGACAAAGAATATTATTTTGACCGAAACCCTTCTTTGTTCAGATATGTGCTGAATTTCTATTACACGGGTAAGCTCCATGTTATGGAAGAGCTTTGTGTGTTCTCTTTTTGTCAGGAAATCGAATACTGGGGGATCAATGAACTCTTCATTGATTCTTGCTGCAGCAACAGGTACCAAGAACGGAAGGAAGAAGGCCCAGATAAAGACTGGGAGAATAAAAGCAATGCAGGAAGCCTGGACTCTTCTGAGGAAGAGTCATCCATATTTGAGAAAGAGCTCGAGAAGTTTGATAAACAGTGTCTTGGGGACTTGCGCAAGAAAATATGGGTCACCATGGAGAATCCTGCATCTTGTTTGTCGGCCAAACTGATTGCTGTTTCTTCTTTGAGCGTGGTTCTTGCATCTATTGTGACCATGTGTATCCACAGCATGCCGGAATTCCAAAAACTGGATGCCAACGAAAGAGAGATCGAAAATCCTATTCTGGAAGTTGTGGAGATCATATGCATCGTCTGGTTCACCTCTGAGCTGATGATCAGGTCGGCTGCCGCGCCAAGTCAAAAAAAGTTCTGGAAGAACCCTCTGAACATTATCGACTTTGTCTCCATCATTCCTTTCTATGCCACTTTGGCTGTGAACACAAAGGACGAAGAGAGTGAAGACATTGAAAACATGGGGAAGGTGGTTCAGATCCTACGGTTAATGAGGATATTCCGTATATTGAAGCTCGCGAGGCACTCCGTTGGACTTCGCTCTTTGGGTGCAACGTTAAGGCACAGCTACCATGAGGTTGGACTTCTGCTTTTGTTCCTGGCTGTTGGGATTTCTATTTTTTCCGTTTTGGTCTACTCGGTGGAAAAAGATGACGATACATCGGAGTTGCAGAGCATCCCAATCTGCTGGTGGTGGGCCACAATCAGTATGACTACTGTTGGCTATGGGGACACCTTCCCTGTCACTTTTGCGGGAAAGATTCTTGGCACAACCTGCATTATCTGTGGAATCCTGGTGGTATCGCTTCCCATCACCATCATTTTCAACAAATTTTCAAAATACTACCAGAAGCAGAAGGATATAGATGTGGACCCTTGCAACGATGACGCCAAGGAGAAGACCAATGAGCTCCCTTATTTTAATATTAGGGATATTTATGCAAAAAGGATGCACTCCTTTATTTCTAGCCTTTCTTCTGTAGGAATTGTAGCCAACGATCAAGATTCAACAGATGCCTCCAGTATCCAAGATCTTGATGATGTTTATAACGCAACATCTTTCCAGAATGGTACAGGAAAATGAGCTGAATCTCTTTCTTTACTGTTTCCTTCTAATATTAGCACAGCTTTGATAAAGAGCACTTAATTCTCAGGGTATTTAACTCTCTGCCATATTAGGGCATTCTTTGCTCTAATGGTGTAGCACATTCTTTACTGTTTAGATGAGGCTTAAGGCTAGATAGGCTGTACGTGGTGGTTTAGTTTTTTTCCTAGTGTAGGAAAAGAATATTGTGCAGCCAGGACTGATAACCTTCTAAAGAATGTGTTGCTTGAACAGATTGTTTCTCAAGAAATGGCGAATTGCTAGCACTTAGGAAGTGTGTCACAAAAGGTGATATTCTTGTATGCAAATATTGCTAGAGACAACATAAGCACATATGAAATGAAGTAGTATCCACAATGATGCAAAAATATTTTTAAACCAAAGCAGGGAGTTATTAGCATCTAATGTTAATATTCAGTGCATTCTGAAGCTAGAGATAGCTTTGCATGTATTTGCATCCTTCAGCTACAGTCCTTCTGGGCTTTGTTGGGTGTGATGGAGGGCGTATGTTTTCAATGAAAGCAGCAAAATACAAAATGCAAAGTGTAGATGTAGAGCAGTCAATCGGGTTCTTTCCAGGGGTTTTTTTTTGGGGGGGGGGGAATAGGACTACAAGTCTCAAACTCCTTCACTATTCCCCAAACTGATTAGGAGGAGATAACCAAATTATCTTGAAGGGAAACGTTGCATGCTTCTGTTGTAGAGTCCTGGTTATTATAGATGAATTGGACTTACCTCTCAAGGAAACTTCGGCATTACTATTGAATGAGTCAACCAAAAATCAGAGCATGATAATATTATTTTTGACTGCATAGTGGAGGGGATTCAGGGAGTTGTGGTTCTTTGAAATTATGGCTCTGCTGTATTGCTGCTTTCAGTGTCACAGACCAATCTGGTATAATAATAATAATAATAATTATTATTATTATTGTCAGAAAAAGCACAAAATCAAGCAACCAATTCATTCTTCTAAACCATTGTCTTAATTGACAAAGCAGGAAGGAACCAAAAAGCCATAGGTCTTGGACACTGAAACAAAATTCATTGGTCATCCCATACAAACCTAGATCACAATGTCTCATGATCAGAAAGTAAGGGCCCATTCCCACTGCACACTTATGATGCCCTGTTTCCATTTTAGCTCCTGTGGATGCATCTTATGGTGTCCTGGGATTTGCAGTTTGGCGAGGCACCAGAGAAAGGCATTCTGGCTGATAATTCTAAATGTCCCTCCGTAAACTGCAAATCCCAAGATCCCATAGGCATTTAAAATGGAACCATAGTACTTTAACCATTCAGTGTGAAAGGTCCCAAAGAACACCCCATAATAGTTCAAATGATTCAAGATGACTTCAGTAGGCCCATCAGTATCTATCTCTAGAGCCCTTGTGGTTTTCTGTGTGTCTCATAAAATGTAAACAATACTTGAATATGTTGAAAAAAATGTTCCTTACACACCAGGAAACCCTGATTAGTAGAATTCTGGACCAAAAAGAGCCTTTAACCATTTGGGACTTGTTCCGCAAAAGGTTTGTACATGGTTTTTTGTGTGTACAAAAACATGTATTGTGCACAAAATGAGTCCCTGAGTATTGCATTTTCTGCACAAAATTATTTCTATTCAGAAATATCAGGACTGCTACTTTCTGTGCAGAAAAAAGTGCTAGGGAGATAGCACAAACAAAAGCAAGTAAAAATTTTATTGAATCCTTGTATGTAATTTCCAAGACTTTCTTGCAACTAAAATTACTGGTTCCTCTCAAGAATGAAATTAACAACAAATCCCTATGATCATATGACATTTTGATCAAATCCATCTTTGCGTGTATTTGAATGAACATCTCTTTCAAATATTTGTCTGTCTTCCCAATCCTTGGTGAGACATCAAGGATTGCTCTTGCATTTAGACTCAGGTTTTTATCCTTAGTGTACTTTCTTTGTTTTGGTGATAATGACAGAATACATGACATGGCAAATGAAGCATTAGTTCTGTTCTCAACGGGTGCTGTTCAAGGAGTTATCACAGCTTGCTATAAATGGAGTTGTAGTATTATCCTCTCTGTCCATGATATTATAAACAAGAATTCCAATGGTTTCTGATTTCTGTCACTCGGCCATCCAAAAAAAAAAAATGGAACAGCAATTTTTGTAAACACCGTCAGGATGCTACATTACTGTATAAAGTTGAACATCCTGTACGTACAAGAAGAGATTTCAGAGCAACAGATGTACACCATTATTGGTCTTCATGGCAGGTCCCAAGTCTTCCATTTTAGGCAGTTGAACTACCCAACCTATATGTAGAAGCTTAACTACCCTTCTTCAGCAGTCATTCTGTGTACCAGTATGGTGATATTTAAAACAGACAAACACCCCTCTAAAAGCACAAAACCGGACCTTAACAGCACATATAACAACAATATACTTGCTTATTGCAAAATACAAATATGCAAGGGCAGAAGGCAATTTTGCATTGCTTGTTGGGTGTTTCAAACAAGATTTAATAACTGAGAAAGGATTAAGGGTTGCAAAATCGTTGTCATTGTAGTCAAGCACAGAAGCAAGAAACCTTCAATATAGCTTTGCTCCAATAATTCTAGTCTCATGACTAAGCTTTTCTACTCAATACTGTGCAGAGATACAGCACAAAAAAGCCCCAGAAACACAGCTGCTAGTGGGAGACAAGCATGGGACTCTCTGATTTGCATATAAACATGTTTGTGTTTATAAGTCATGGATCCATGGCCAGTGTCCACACAAGGACAAAGTGCATCTGGAAATGTGTCTATACTAGTCAGCCCTAAGCTGCCTCCATGACAGGACACTGGCCAGACCGCTCAGCTGTGCCAGAAATCATCCTTTGCATTTCTGCAGGATCTATACTTCCTGATCCTGAGTCCTTTAGAAAACAACGGAGCCTGGGAGCAGTAAGCCCTCTCCCCTTTTCCAAAACTGCTTTGCTCACTGAATGATGAAGAACCAGGAAGTAAAGAGCAGGCAGCACTGGTAAAGGATGCTTTTCTGTTGGGAACTGGGAAGGGTGTGTGTGTGAGGATGCTGAGCAGCAGAAAGCCACTGCCATTCCACTTCCCCAGGTTGCCTAAGCTTGGGGAGTATGGGATGGCTACAGGAATATAATCCTGGATCCCACATGGGGATCCAAGATGGCGGTATCTATTGCTGAAACAGGATCAGGATCTTCCTAGATGGTTTGGACCTTTCCTCATGTTTTTTTTAAATATGGTGTCAAGATGGATAACTTAGCTTATCCTTGGCTAAATTGCATTGATCTGTGTGCATTGTGTGGATGCACTTGGCTAATGCAATTTCTACTCTGCATTAAATGGCAGTGTATGTGCAGCCTTTATTTCCCCATGTTTTGCAAATGTTTTTTTAGTGAGATCTTTAAAGAAAGTTACTAATGAAATTTGCCTGTGATGATTGGAGGCCTTCCCCATACTCTCAAGTTGTAATTGGGTGTACCAGTTGGACAAATGTTGACAAGCCATGGTTGGTTTTTGATCTTCTGGAAACCAAAATATGAGATTTTCAGAAAGCTTGCCTTTTCTTCCCTGTGGAAGTGGATCAATCTTACAATGGAGGTTAATGCTTCCTTCCTAAGTTGCTTAGCTTTCAAGTCTCCTGGGCAGCTACCTTGCAAAAGGTCTCAAAATGAGACCCCCAGCTAGTGCACTAGCAAGTAGGAGTAGTGGCTACCATGATGAATTTAACCAGGCAGACTCAGATTGAAACACCCATAGAACCCAAAAGTTGTATTGTCAAAGGCTTTCATGGCTGGAATCACTGAGTTATTGTAGGTTTTTCGGCCTGTATGGCCACGTTTTAGAAGCATTCTCTCTAGAACATGGCCATATATCTATGGCCATGTTCTATAGATGTATGGCCATGTTCTAGAGAGAATGCTTCTCTAGAGAATGCTTCACCTGCATCTATTGCAGGCATCCTCAGAGGTTGTAAGGATGCATCTATGGCAGGCATCCTCGGAGGTTGTGAAGTCCGTTGGAAAATGGGAGAATTGGATTTATATCTGTGGAAAGTCCAGGGTGGGAGAAAGAACCTACAACAACCCAACCCAAAAGTTGCCTTAGGGTAACCAACATTTCTACATTTAACCTCCTTTGCAAGGTTGTTATGGTGATTTGCAGGAAGGAGTTAGGAGGGAACATGTACCTGTCCTGATTTCCCTGGAAAAAAGACAGGATAGAGACTGAAGATAAATTATATTTCTTTCTTAGTCTGACTAGATTGTTAATGCCAAGTAACTAATGTTGGTACTTTTAAAAAACTAAATCTATGCAATTTTCATATGTGAATTGTCTTTTATATTTAAAAAATCATGTATCCAATCCTGCTGTCTGAATATACCTTAGCATCTCCACTTGATGTCTCTATAATTTAGTTAGTTTGGTCATGTAAGGCTTCTGCCCAGTCTGTCATTGGCTACCTACCGTAGACAATGGACAAAGTCTAGTGTACTGTTGGTGGTATTAGGGATCCAAATCAAAACCAGTGAACCAGATTAAAAAGGATGGGCAGTTTATTACCACGAAGGGAGATACCAGAGCATGGCATCATTGCATAGATAGCAAAGCTCATCCAGCCTTTTCATGTTGGGCTTTGAATGCTCCAGGCTGCGATAGCTGCAGAAGCATCAGTTTTCCAATTATCAGCTGGAATGTTTTTAAAAGCTTTGACAGGTGATCTTTGGAATTTGAGGTTGTGATTTAATTTTAACTTCTTTCCATAGGCCTCTTCTAAGCAGGAGCATGTGTATATGTGTGTGTCTGTGTGCATGCGCATATATAACACTCAGGTGTTGCAGTATCAGTCAACCTCCTTTGTTGTTTTGTATTTTGTTAGGCAATTCCCATTTTCAGTGCCATTGCTGGATATGCAACCCAGAAGTGGAACAATATTGATCTCTGGAGTCTCCATTTTAATTGC